GACATATCGACAAACAGTTGAAATGATGGGATCTNTACGAGATTCTTTTGCCAGAGTCTGAGCATCTGTCGGTATAAGTTGTTGACTAATCATTTTTATTGCGCACACTGTAAATTCATCTTCATCTTTTTCTTGAAAATCAAAGTCTGGATCTTCACCTTGTGGCAATCTGCTAAGTGAATCTGCATTTCCATGATCTGTTGATTTTCTATATTCAATTGAATAGTCGTATTGATGAAGCATCAGGGCCCAGCGAGCCAAACGATTTGCTGCTATCACTGGTGTTCCTTTTGAAGGATTGAAAAGAGCCAACAACGGTTTGTGATCAGTGACCAGAATGAATTTTCGTCCATAGAGATATTGGTGAAATTTGTGTAACCCATATATTATAGCTAGTGCTTCCTTGTGAATTTGACTGTACCGACGTTGGGATTCAGTAAGTGTTTTTGAAACATTGAATAATGGTCGTTCCTCCCCATCAGGATACCTGTGAAACAGAACTACCCCCAATCCAACTTCTGACGCGTCACAAGAAATACCCAATGGAAGCGACTTGTCGAAATGTGCCAACTTGACGTCTTTCATAAGAATTTTTTTAATCTTTTGAAAAGTTAGTTCTTGCTTTGAAGTCCATTTCCAGGGTGTATCTTTTCTTGTAAGACATGTCAGAGGTTCAGCAATCGTTGCAAGATTAGGGATAAACTTGTGATAAAATTGAACAGAACCCAGAAATGATCGTAATGTTGATATATTAGTAGGGTGTGGCATTTTAAACAAGGCGTCAACATTCTTTCCTTTATTAACACCTTCTCCTGAAAGTATGTGACCCAAATATTCAATTGAAGTTTGTCCAAAAACACATTTCTTCTTGTTGCATTTCAGACCTTTATCACGAAGGCGTTGAAGAAGAGATCTTAAATTCTTATTGTGCTCATCAACACTGGATCCTCCAACAAGAATATCATCTAGATAAACTGCGACTCCTTTCAGATCACAAGTTAGTCTATCCATGATTTCTTGGAAGTAGCCTGGAGCTGAAATAATACCAAACGGAAGTCTGGTTTGAAGTAAAACTCCTCTATGTGTGCTCAATGCAAGTTTTCTTTGACTGTTTGGAGCAAGTTTTATTTGATTGAAAGCATCAGCAAGATCTATTTTGCTAAAGTAACGACTTCCTCCAAGTTTTTGTATCAAGTCTTCAGGAAGTGGCATTGGATGTCGATGTGGTTCCAGCTGGGGGTTCACAGTAACTGAGTAATCCCCACAAATTCGAAATTTTACTTTTTCCTCTCCTGGATTTAATCGTTTTTTTTATGGGTACTATGGGTGTTCCATAGTCATTGAAATCTACTGGAATCCAGATGCCTTTTTTAATACCAGCATCTAATGTATTATTGAGATCCTCTTGAAATGAAAATGGCACTGTTCGAGCTTTACAGAAAACTGGATTTGAATCTGGTTTGAACTTAACTTCCAATTCAAAATTTTGCAAACATCCAAGTCCTGGTTCAAAACATTCTTTAAAATCTTCACAAATTTGTTGACAACAGATGAAAACTTTGACATCAGTTGAATTTTCTTTAATTTGAAAAACTTGTTTATTCAAAGCTGCTGTTACATCAATTTCTAGATCAAGAATTGCTTTTCTGCCTACAAGATTTAGGTTAGGTAGTTTTGTAACATTGAATTCTACAATTTTTTTATCATTTGATTCTGGAATAGAAGTTGAAACCTGACAAACTCCAATGACTGGGATTTTGTCCCCAGTTGCTGAAATAAATCTTGTAGAATTAGAATGGAGTTTGGGTCGACCCCATTTTTGCCAAACTTCTAAAGAACAAAAACTATCTCTTGCTTCACTATCTAATTCAAAAAAATGTTCAGTATTCTTGAAGAGTAACTTTTGAAGAAGAGGTGTATTTCCAGGAATAGAATGTATAATTCTAACTGAACTGTTTTGTTGAAACTTTTTTTTTAAGCAAACTTTTTCAAGATGACCAGTCTTTTGACAAAAATTGCACTTTGTATTTATGTATCTACAATCTCTGGCATGGTGACCTTTGTTTCCACATCTGGGACAGGTGCCTTTTGAAAAAGGAAATTTGAAATTTTCATGTTTTTTATTGAAAAGAACTGCTTTTTCTTTTGATTTGTTAGTAGGACTTCTAGAAACTTTAGAAACAAATTCTGTTTTTTCTTCTGGAGAGCTTTACAGTTGCTTTAGCGACTTTGGAGGCTTCTTCAACTTCTGTAGCTAGTTCTATTGCTCTGTAGAATGTTAATTCATCTTTTGGAACTTTGAAAAGAGACTTAAGAACAGCTTCGTTATTTACAGAGCAAATGAATTTTGTTCTAAGTGCTTCATCTAAAGGATCATTTATTTTTGAAAAATCACATGTACTTGCTGCTTGACGAATTCTAGATGCAAGTTCTTGTAGTGTTTCACCTGGTTTTCTAGAAATTTCATTCCAGAACTTATATCTTTCCCTGACAATAAAGTGCTTGGGACTGAAATTTATCTCCATTGTTTGTGAAATATCATTCATTTGTAACTCGTTGACATCACGTGGAGGAGAAAGTTGAGATGCCGCGACTTAAAGAAGCTTGTAAATTTCTGGAGATTGATTCGTCAGAAAAACTTGAGCAATTTTTGAGTTCGGGACTGAATTGGCAGAAACGAACGTTTGAAAACGAGATAAGTAGTCAGTCCAAAGCTCTTTTTTTGAACAAAAGGCTTCGAAAGTGGGAACGGTTGTCGAACTTTGAACTATTGATTTGACCAGTGTCTCCATTTGCTTCGAAAATCCTTCCAGAAAAATTTTCAGTTCGGCCATATTTGAAAAAAAAAAAATCCTGTCGACTGCGCCAATTGTTGTGACCTTATATATTGACAACGCAAAAAAATAACTAAGTTAAACTTTAATAACTTTATTTAACAAAATTCTTGAAAAGTAAAAAGTATTTAAAATCGATTTATTTGTTTGTTTTTCGAAACTAAATTAATACTTATCTACGTTCGTAAAGTTGGAAACCGAGAGTTCCTTTTTATTTTAGGGATGTCCCTATAGCACCAACTATGTCTTTTTTCGTACGCTTTGCTGGTTTTGCTCTACAATACATTTGTTCACCTTTGTTTTTAGTGAGCCACTCTGCACTGATCTGTCCGAGCCAGTGCGACTTGACGTCTTGCATAGTTGTTCTTCTCACGGAAAATTTTATGGTCATCAAGAGACTGATTTTTGCCATTGCTTGCATGCAGCTTTCTTATCATCTATTGCATTTTGTACACTGTCATTCCACCACCAAGTGTCCCGTTCATGCTGACGTTTTGTACCAGTTATCCCACAAACTGTAGTTGCAGCGTTTATCAAAACGGTTTTGTATGTACTCCAATCTGTACTGGCTTGCGTTTGGTGGTCTAATTGTGTTGCGACAATCTGTTGAAATTTTTCTCGATGAATATTGCTTTTCAGTTTCCACGTTTTGAGTCTCAGAGGCATTTGTTTAGACTTATGTTTTGAAAGTTCGACAACCAGGTCTGCCACAAGTAGTCTATGTTGGGCGAAACATGATTCGCTAGGTATAACTATAATATATATATATATATATATATATATATATATATATATATATATATATATAATTTGGTAGGAGGTTCTCAGATAAACATGTACGGTTGAAGATTACACCCCATTTTGCAGTTAGAAGTTTTTTAAATAAAATTTCAACAACACGAAGCTGTTTTGTTTCAACTTTATTAAACCTTGTGAAGTTATTAAACTGTGTGTAATCTTCAATCTTGTACATATATATATATATATATATATATATATATATATATATATTAATGATAAAATTTATAGCATGTTCGACGTTAGTTAACTTCATGTTTAACTTTTTGATTTTTCTAGCGGTTGATCGTAAATCATGCAGAAAAAATAGTCACTGTTTGCTTTTCTAGGCGAAGCTTGATCCATATGAGACTCAGTTAATCCTTTTAATATCCAGTACTTCTTGGGCTAGCGGTTTTTGGACAACACCATTAGCCTGTCTGTAGTGCGTATGCAGAAAAAATAATCATTGTACGTACTCCAGATTAACGTTTAAAAAATTTATATTTTGGGTTCGTTTTAAAGTTTAACTTATAGTATTTAATTAAAAACCAGTATTCGAGAATTAAATTTAGAAAATTATGTTAGAAATGTGCTTATTAGTATCTATTTTAATTTAAACCATACAGCCTTTTTTTTCTAATTCAATGGCAACACTGTTTGAAATTGAATTTTGTGCAGGCGGAAGCAATCTTTGTATTCATTTTTAATCGTTTCTTTTCTTATTTAAAAGTCATGTCTACTATTAAAAAAAGAAAGATTGATGGCGAACCTCGAGTATTTAATGAGGAATGTGAGGAATGGACAATTAAATATCATATTTCACTAAAGTTGATGAAAAAGCTGTCTGCTTAATTTGTGGCAAATCCATAAACGTCTTCAAAGAATATAATTTGAAAACACACCAACGATCGAAACATCTAGATTTTAGACACAACTAAACAGATAAGAGCTAAAGAGAAAATGCCAAAATTACTTAAAAATTTTAAATCGCCGCAAAACACTTTTACCAAACGATCTTCAAAACAGGATGCTGCAACAGAAGCTAGTTTGGTATTATATCACAAAATTGTCAAAAAAAAATAAATCGTTTCCTGATGGCGAGTTTGTCAAGGAATGCTTGCTAGATGCAGTAAACATCATGTGTCCAGAGCAGAGCCTAAAATTTGACAGTAACTCTTTATCAAGAAGAACTGTAGAATTGCCTTGAAAAGTGAAAACTTGTTACAACAGCATCAAATTGCAAGTAAAAATTTTTTGTGGTACTCTCTTGCTTTGGATGAAAGCACAGATATACAAGACACATCACAATTGTTAGTATTTATAAGAGAAATAACAACAACAACAACACACGTTTAGACGAAATTTTCCCCGAGATCGGGGTTCACGTTTGGCTACCTATGATGAAACGAAATACCCCTCGAAGCCATTCACATCTGTCACTCGCCTCAGTATCACGCAACCCCGCTTTCACCCTGTCCTTCTCCACCTGCTCTCTCCATCCCAATCGCGGACGACCCCTTCCTATTACTCCTTCAACCTCGAACTCCAACGCTCGCCTAATCCCGACCCTTTCATGCCTTCTCAACACATGTCTATACCACCGTAATCTTGATCTCCTTATTAATGTCACAATGTCCTCATTTAGTCCCATCATCGACATCAGCTCTGCACTACTCCTCCTATCCTTCACTTTAACCCCACACATCATCCTCACCATAGCTCTTTCAGCCCTCTGCAGTAAACTTTCCTCCTCTCTCCTCAACACCCAAGTTTAACCACCATATACCATCGCTGCTCTCCTACATGCTTCATATACCTTCATTTCATCTTCACTGACCATTTCTTTCCACACAATACCCCACCCAGTTCCCTAAATTTCATCCATCCCACACGAACTCTAGCCGTAACAGCGCTCAAACATCTTCCATCCGCGTTCAGCTTAACCTCTAAATAAACGAAGCTTTCCACTCTTTCAATACCACCACTCAACCCCGTCCTTGCGTCAGTCCTATTAATCACACCATGAACACATTTCTTACATTTGAACGTGCCTTCCACCTTTTCAGTGCCCCTCTCACACCACTACATCTCTTATGCACCCACTTCTGACATCCTATACGCAATACCGAGTTAGCCTTCACTCTCCTGTCACATACCCCACAGGGGTCTATTTTACTTATCACTCGCTCCCCACCTTCCCCACTCACCATTACCTTCGTCTTACCAATATTAACTTTTAACCCTTTCTTTTCAATAACACTTTTCCATCTATAAGAGAAATAATTAACTGTTATCATGGGGTCTCTCGTGTCCGTCTACCACTCCCACGACCCGGGTTCAAATTCTGCAGTTTCTACAGGTTCATCCGGGTAGCCGACCCCCGATCAACCCAGCCGTCCATCCTTTCGAGGTTGGTAAATGTGTAGACGACATAAGTTGTCGCATGTTGGCCGGCGAGATGGCTCAGTGGTTAAGATGCGCGCTGAGTCAATCATCTCAATAGCTATCATATATTCAGCGTATATGATGCGGTGCTTGCGCGTGCACATAAATACATGTGTACGTCGTGTGAAAAGAATAAATAGCCTTTGTGGCGAAGATGGCTGCTTCAAATCAATAGATGAGGATTTGAAGAACATAATAAAAAGATATATAGATAATATATATCTGTTACATTGTAAGTGGTTCTGCGTATGTCAGAGCTGTAATAATAAAGACTAATATATATATAAAAAAATTGCTGACTGAGTGATTTGACTGTTATCAAATCACTCAAGGATACAACTACTGGCCAGGATTTATTCCATTATGTTGAAAATTGTATTGAAAAAAATAGATTAGCATGGAACAAGTTAACAAGTGTAACAACTGATGGTACTCGTGCTTTGACAGGAAAACAATGGTTTTTTCACACTGATAAACAGTAAAATAAAAGAAAAATATCCAGATTATAACTTATAGATATAGATATATCTCTTCACTGTGTCATTCATCAAAAAAATTTAAAAAGCATGTTATTGATTCAGTTGATGGTGTAATAAACATCGTTCGAGCCAGAGGTCTTAACCACAAGCAGTTCAAAGTATTGCTTGAAGATATGGAAAGTAAACATTCTGACATCTTCTACCATTGTAGTGTTCGTTGGCTGAGCCTTGGCAACGCACTGAGTCGCGTGTGGGCTCTAAAAAAAAAGAAATAATTCTTTTTTTTTAGAAATGAAAAGCATAATTTCTCTATTTTGTTACAAACATAAAAAATGAACAATGGAAATTAGATTTTATGTTTGCCGTTTACATTATTGAAAAGTTAAATGAATTGGACAATAAACTTCAAGGCATTAGTTTGTTTGCTCATGAAATGTATTACCATTATAAACCTTTTCAGACAAAACTTGCCCTGTTCTCTAGACAAGCAGATGAGAACAAGTTTTGTCATTCTCCATTGCTAAAACAGGAGTTGATTTCTGCTATAGTAGCTCAAAAATACCAAGAACAAATAGATGATTTAGCTATTAAAATTGAAAAAAAATCGAAGATTTTAAAACCTGGAACCTTTGTTCACGACTCTCACAGCCCATTATAGAATAAAAATTGATGAAACACCTCCTGAAGACCTGCAGTTGGAACTGCTTGACATACAATTGTGAACTGAAGGAAAAATTTAAATCAGGCTTTTTGTTAGAATTTTATGGCTCTCTGTCTGATGTAGCATTTCCAAATTTTAAAATGTTTGCTGCAAAAATGTTTTCAATATTTGGATCCACATATATATGTGAACAAGCATTTTCTTGTATAAGTAATTGCATATATATATATATATATATATTATATAATATATTATATATATATATAATATATATTATATATATATATATGCGGCCCCCAAAGGTAAAACAGTTTTCAATGTTGGCCCTAACAACTAAAAGTTTGCCCACCCCTGTGATAACCAATCATTTTATTTTAATACGGTGCACTATAAAACATGTAAATAAATAAATCATACAATTGTATATTGTAAAAGAGCAATGTATAATTTAGTGAAAACCATAATTAAAAATTATATTATCATTTTGGGGTCTTTCAACATTCGTTAGCAACAAAAAATCTCTGCGTCACGTGAAAATAGGTTGTTAAAAGCAGCCAAAATCCAATCAAATATTTGAAAAGATTTTTAATAGTAATTTTTAAAATAAAATTAACATAAATCTTATTTAAACGACGTATTAAAAAATATAATTTGAAAAGAATACCTATAGAACTATTAACCTTTTGTTACAACAACAACACAACAACACACGTTTAGACGGCATTTTCCCCGAGATCGGGGGTTGCCGTTTGGCTACCTATGATGAAACCGAAATACCCCTCGACTCCATCCACATCTGTCACTCGCCTCAGTATCACGCAACCCCGCTTTCACCCTGTCCTTCTCCACCTGCTCTCTCCATCCCAATCGCGGACGACCCCTTCCTATCACTCCTTCAACCTCGCCTAATCCCGACTCTTCTCAAAACATGTCCATACCACCGCAATCTCGATCTCCTTATCAATGTCACAATGTCCTCATCCAGTCCCATCCTCGACATCAGCTCTGTACTACTCCTCCTATCCTTCACTTTAACCCCACACATCATCCTCACCATAACTCTTTCAGCCCTCTGCAGTACACTTTCTTCCTCTCTCCTCAACACCCAAGTTTCACCACCATATACCATTGCTGCTCTCACACATGCTTTATATACCCTCCCTTTCATCTTCACTGACCATTTCTTTCCACACAATACCCCACCCAGTTCCCTAAATTTCATCCATCCCACACGAACTCTAGCCGTAACTGCGCCCAAACATCCTCCATCCGCGTACAGCCTATCCCCTAAGTAAACAAAGCTTTCCACTCTTTCAATACCACCACTCAACCCCGTCCTTGCGTCCGTCCTATTAATCACACCATGAACACATTTATTACATTTGAACGTGCCTTCCACCTTTTTCAGTGCCCCCCTCACACCACTACATCTCTTATGCACCCACTTCTGACATCCTATACACAATACCGAGTTAGCCTTCACTCTCCTGTTACATACCCCACAGGGGTCTATTTTACTTATCACTCGCTCCCCACCTTCCCCACTCACCATTACCTTTGTCTTACCAATATTAACTTTTAACCCTTTCTTTTCAATAACACTTTTCCATCTGTCAAATTTTAACTGCAATTCTTCCATGCTATCAGCCATCAAGACTAAATCATCTGCATTCAAAATCTCAAATAACAACCCCTCCATTATGTTTCCACACACAACATCCATCACAATTGCAAACAGAAACGGTGATAACACTGATCCTTGATGCACTCCTACCTTAACACTAAAAGCGTCCGACATCCCCCTTCCAACCCTCACCTTTGTCTTTGCCCCTTCATACAGCTGCATCACAGCTTTAACAAGTCTCTCATTCACTCCTTTCTTCCTCAACGCCCATTCAATGACCTTCCTCGGTACTCGATCAAAAGCCTTTTCTAGATCCACAAAACACATGTACAATCTTCGTTTCTTCTTTCTATAATTCTCCTGCAACATTCTCACCATGAACAATGCATGCACCGTTCCCCTACCAGGCATAAACCCACACTGCATTTCATTAACTGTCACCATATTTCTCAACCTCCTCTCAAGCACCCTCTCCACTACCTTCATTCGGTGCTCTAGCAATTTCACACCCCTATATGACCCACAATCTCTTACATCTCCTTTGCCCTTATACAACGGCACCAACACACTGTGTCGCCATTCCTCAGGTATACCTTCATCATCAAACATACTGTTAGCAATTCTCATCACAACTTCAATTCCTATCACCCCACTCGCTTTTATATGTTCTGCCGCCAAAAAAACCATTAAAAAGATTAAAAAAAGCTTTAAAAACTTGAAAATCCTTTTAAACGTTTAAAAAACTTGAAAACTTAAAAAAACCATAAAAAAACCATTAAATATTTTTAAAGAGACAGAGAAAACCTAAAAAATAAAAATCACAGCAAAAATTTAAAAAACAAAAAAAAATGAATACGTTAATGTAAATTGATAATCAATTAAGAAGCTCAACACAGTCGTTGCTGAACTGAAAATTCGTAGCCAAATTTCTGTTGCGAACATTACCGTCGTTTCATGTTCAGAAGATTTTCGACCGGAAGATTTTTGTTCGGGGAGCTTATGTCTTGTGAATTTTACTCTGGGGATATTTTGTTCTAGAGTTGACTCAAAAAAAGAAATTAATTGAATTTTTAAGGTAAAGTAAAGCAGCTATTTGAGAAACAAATTGAAATGAATCTTTAAAAATAAAAAGACTCATTTATGAAACGTGGAATGAACCAAAAACAAAACTTTTAAAACATCAAAAAGATTCTTCAAAAATTATAAAAAGGTGTAAAATAAAACAAAATATTATAAAGAAAAAGCTTGTAAAGAAATAAACATTAAGAAACCTGAAGGTGCATAAGAGTTAAGTAAATCGTTTTCCAGTTTGGAAAGGTAAATATGCAGTTTGTTGAGATCAAGCGATGATGAATAGTTGTTGCTGTGAGATGAACATTCCATAATTCTTTTGAACCTGGTATTCAGTTTATCTTTTTTTCTATTTAGCTCATGACAGTTCAAACTTGATGCAAATGAAACCTAGATAATAACAAATACATTCAGTAATGCTTGAAATTCCATAAACGTAAAGCACCATCTTAAAACACGAACAAATCATTAAAATCATTAATTTATTCCAAACGCTACATGACCGCAAAATTTAAATCGATGATCAGGCTAATCCTATGACAGCAACTCCTATAAGTCACCATCCCATTGACAGCAAAATTAATTTTGTCAGTCATCTAATTGTTATTACCAATTCACTCCACAATAGTTTTCAGAAGAATATATCATGATTACATATAAGATGAATAATCACGAAATCTCAACAAAATGAGACTACAGTTGGAAACTACTGAAAAATAAATAAATGTACACAAACTTATTGTAGTTGTTATTATTATTATTACGTTTATTATGTCACGTTTATATTATTCCAGGCAATATGAGATGAATAAATATTCCATAATTTGCATTAACAAACAAGAAATCAATAAAGAGGCACAGTATATATATATATATTACATTATTGCATTTTTGAATGTTATAATGCAATATATATATATATATATATATATATATATATATATATATATATATATATATATATATAGTTTTCAAGAAAATCAACCGCGTTAATACAATTATTATGTTTATACATTAATTTTTCAAGTTTTCTAATTAAAATTTTATTATAATTATTTAATTTATTAAGTAAAAAACTAAAATTATTATTGTTCATGTTTATTAATATAATTAATTGCAAAAAGCTTTTTCGATATAAAATATATCATCGTCAGTGCAAAATATTTTCAAATAATAACGAAAATTACCGTTTATAAACAAATGACGTCATACAGTATAACTTAATTTTAAGCGCGAAACATAACAAAAGTACACCATAAATAAAATTAGGTCAGAAAAATCTGAATAAACCAATATCAAAATTGATTTTAATTACACCCTCATGTAAAATTGCTTAAGCCCATCTAAGTGAATAAGTCGAAAAACATATCCATCAATCAATCATCGTTTAGCGTCCAGAGACCCAGTTCTCCCGAGGTAGGACGATGTTTTCTTTGCCATCAATTTTTTGCGCCAAATTAGGCGATCAGTTGTAGGCGATCAGTAGATTCGAAAAACATAATCAATTAATTAAAATAACAACAACAAAAAAACAAGCTGGAAAAAGTTTAATGTCACAAGGAAAATAAGTCGGATAAGCCAAAAGCAGTCCACAAAATATTAAATTCTTTATTTTTATGTCCAAGCAACTTTTAGGACGTAATTTTCTCATAGATATAACATGAGGGTTCAAACTAAAAATATAAATCGTGAAAAAATCGTCAAAAAATGCTTCGATTTATTTTGCAATTCAATAAAACATTTTCTATTTATACATAGATTTCTAGCGTCAACTGCAAAACCATAAATCAATTTCCATTACAATTAAATTAATTTGTTGTAATAAATTATTTTTTAAACTTTTATGTATAATTTTTTTCATAAATTTGGTCACGAATTTCTCGCTGAATGAAAATATTGCATAAAAATTTTAAAACGAAAATTGATGCATGGTTAGTTTAGTAATATCGGTTATCCCTGTTAGATATGATGACTTCATTACACGTCACTGATATAGTGATGACCTCATTTCACACATAACTGTTAGAATTGACATCATTGAAAGTTGAGTTCAGAACGTGAATTAAATAGATTTTCGAAATTCAATACAGAGCTGGATGAAAAAAATACGATTTTCATATGTTCTGAGATTTCCCACTTCGACTCCAGCAAAATCCTCCGACTTACAACTTTCTGACAATATCTGTGCAAAGCTCAGTTTATATCACACACAAACTTCTTTGACTCTCACGTAAACCTCATTCATTAGCAAAAAACACAACTATATGTTTTCCGTTTCTAAAGTTATGCCAGTCTTAATAAAAAATTTTGAATAGTAATTTTTGTAAAAAAAAAATACTATGAGACTTTAAACAAGATTCAACCCTGAATAGCGCAAAATAAAAATAAATAAAAAAAATTTTACAAACCCAAAGTTTGCTTATATTCTGTGAAGAAGCACAGCATGTTGATAAGAGAATTGGTCTCAGTTGTCTGATACACTCAGTCCAAGAGGTAAGCAGGAGAACTTGCAATCTTTCCACCGCTGTGATGGCATTTGCATCTGGCGTTGGAATTAAGCATGACATAGTTGGAAGAAATCCTTCTTCACCTCTCATATTTTTCACCTGTTTAAGTAATAAACAATCAATAAAATTATAAAATCGTTGTGTAGCTTTATTTCAATGATAATAATCAGTGTCGGATGACGACCTTTTTTATTGCTTCTCACGTCTATTTTTGGTCAATTATCAACACACAACGGTCTTTTTCCTGTTTTCTGATTAAACAAAAAGTTTTACTGACTTTCATTAAAAACACTGCTAACAACAGGGGGCCTCATATATCTGCCATTGACAATAATAAGCATTGTACATAAGCCTCGCACTTCATTATAATGCTTGCTTTTTTAAAGAACAGTTAATATTGTGGATTTGAAGTGTTGAATTAATAAAATTGGACAAAGATAGAAAAAAAAATTTTGAAATTGAAAAAAATAAAGTGGACGCCAAGATTACCATTATTCAAAAATGGTATCGCCAATACTAGTTATAAAATGTATTGCCGATATCAATGCCGAAACGCATCTCTGAAAACATTTTCAACGATACGAACACCTGTCGTTTTTAAAACGGTGCTACAATAAAGCATTCAACTTATATTTGTCAATATTCGGTAGTTAACATAATAGAAAAATTACCGTGTAATGCATTGTTTGAACATTATCAAATTTGAAACAAGCAAGTTAAATTGTCAATTATTCATGAAAAGTTTTTAAAGTTGTTTTTAAATTACTCACAAGAACAACAAAGTTTCAGAGTATTACAGATAACGCCCACAAAACAAGTTAAATAAGAATGTTTAAGAACAAGAAAGCCAAAGACAAGAACCACAAATTTATCAATTGAAAAAACTCTCTAAAGCATTGGTATCAAGTTTTTTTTTCTATCAATATTTAAAAAGCATCGGCGATAACAAGTTTGATACAAGACCTATACCATAACCAATATTTTAAAAGTACAGCCTATGCAACATCAAAATTAACAACTCTGGTGGACATAAAGCCATTAACAGTCCATAAAGAAATTAATAAAGACCAGTGACGGATTGATCGATCGATACAACTATTCTCGTATGATTGACGTAAAATTTTGTTTTTACCTGAAAGTTTGAACTGGACAAAGAAAAAAATGTTAAAGATGACGTAGGATTTGTAGAAGCCGATCGCTTAGGGTGTATATCCATTTTAGAAAACACTTTTCCATGGCCCATTCAAAAATTTCATGACTTTCCACGATATAAACCAATGAAGAAAACTTACACAGCTATAAATACAAGCATTTTATTACTATTATCATCAATTAACTTATTTTTGACCTTTGTTTTCAACGTCTTGCAAGTTTTTTGCCATTGCTGTTTTTAGGTATGCAACATATAGTGACTGAATGTACATTGTATTAATGGGATCAGCATTTCGATTACCTGTTATATACACTAATCATTCTTCTTGTAATGAACGACATTTTACTCCTATTTTCTACCTCATGTGTGAATTGGTAAAAAAACCATACTTCCAAAAAATAACCAAAATTTAACTTCTCCCGCATTTAAAAAAATTTGTTACCAATTTTACCATACACTAATGTTTATCCTGTTGATTTTTGGTTTGATCAAAGGGCGGTGTATCAGAGATGGATTCCGATAGCTTAATGGAACATATACATAAAATGCTAATGACCTTTTAAATGCACATATGCTAATTATTCCTTAGCAGAAAATATGCTAACTGCATATATATTAATGCCCCTTTAGCGCTATACGCTAATTACCAAACAATGTACTTTTTACAGCGCAATGGCGTATATCATTATATAATTTTCAATTAAAGGTAATGATGATAAAAATTTTCAATTAAAGATAAAGGTCAATTACACTCTTTCTAGGTTCAGAGAAATCAACAACACGCACAAGTATCGTATATGAATACATGCTAAACGATGCATCACACACGAGGCAAGTGATAGGCTAAGATCCCTTTGTCATAATATTCGAATCGAAATCGGTCACTGGAAACAGCACCAGACGATCTTAACTACAAAGCCATCACGACGCCCAAACGATGAAGATATTTATGATAACAATTGCAAAATGTATGAAGATTTAAAATAAATAAATGATTTGTACAAATGCGTTAAATTCAAAAATCCTAAAAACAATTCTCTTTTCAATAAAATGCAAGTAAATATTCGAAATTTAGTTACTAAATCAAAAGGACTATTCGAAAATATAAACCTTTTCTCTTTTAAGAATTATTTGAATATATAAACCATTTTTCTTTTAAGTTTTATATAATTAAAATTAGTGAAACTTGGTTGAATAATAGTAACAATGGGTTGATAAATATCGGTGGTTTTGATTTTGCGAGAAAAAACAGGTCTGACAAACATGGTGGTGACGTTGGTTTTCAAGTGGATAATAATTGTTCTTAAAATAAGGAAAGGTAAAAAAACTAAAAAAACTTTGGTGGTATGTCGAACAAAAATCAAGAAACTGCAGTAAAAATTTTATGGCGCGTTTTTTCCATGACCATAAAATGATTTTTAATGACAAAATGACTTTTTTATCGATGACTTTTCATGGCCAAAGTCAAATTCAATAATTTTCATGTTAAATTCCAGGACGTTTTATGATTTTCCTGTAAATAGGAATTTTGATAGTCTCAAAAAATATCATCTAATTTCTTAAATACTTACAGTACACGTCAGCATTTTCGAACTAAATAGAATTGGTAACAAAATGACCTAAAAGCCTAAAAAGTAAATACGCAATTTAAGCACCTTAAGCCAATTAGGATGTGAAGCATCAGTTATTTGAAGTTGTTCTCCTTCTTTCAAGTTCATCTGCAATGCATTATTAAAAAACAGAAACAATATAAAAATTGATATTTTTTAGAGAAAATCTATTTTCTAAATGAGTGCATAATTGATTTAAATAAAATACTTGTAATATATAAAGCATATAAAATGAAAACAAAATAGAAAATGCTAAGAACTTTTAATTGAGTGTTATAAGAAATGGCTTATACAAAATAAACTACTATAATATGTCTTATAAAAGCAAAGGAAATAAGGATAAGTGCACAAAAGAATAAATTAGAAATGTCATCCTTCATTCTTTTTCATAAAATTTTCCAACAAATTTATGACTGTTTCTAACTAATATAAAATAACTTTAGAAGATTGGAGATTTTGCCGGAGTCAAAATTTTTCGAATTATTTTTCACCTGACTTTGACTTCAGAAATTGTTAAAAATTTGAAATTTATTTTTATTTTTTATTCTAAAAATAATTTGTAAGCTCGCCTTTTTAGAAGATATATATGTGTAGATATACACGATCATTTTTAACTGAAAATATATGCTATCAAAACGAAGAACCAATTATATTTTTAAAATTAGATGCGCCTTTTAGTATGCGCAGAATAGACCGTGCAGTGTTAATTGTCTTGCAACTTCAAGTGAAAAATTCATTTATATTATCATAACTGCCCGGTAGACGACGGATTCGTTTGATTTCAATGGAAAATAGAAAACACAATATAAACTTCTAAATTATCGTTTTAATTATAAACAAATCAAGTCACTTTATTTATCATAAATCGATAATCAATACGTGCAGCCTGGAATAAATGGCATCTCCTTGCCTCTATATTGATGCGGCGTGACATCCCACTACCAATACGATCAAGACTTTATAAATCTGTGATACGTCCGGTGTTGTTATATGGTGCAGAAACATGGCCAATGACAACCAAACTGGAACAACAACTTCAACGAACCGACATGAAAATGCTCCGATAAATGCAACGAATTAGTCTGAAGGACCACATCAAATCTACCGAAATCCTGGTTCGTGCTGGTTTAGATGATATAAAGGACGAATGCCGGCAACACCGCCTGCGGTGGTTTGGTCATGTCAAACCAAGTGGAAACAGTGCCATAACTTCTCTTGCAGATGTTGAAGTACTTGGCACACGTCCCAAAGGCCGTCCAAAGAAGTCCTGGTCGCAAACAATCGAGCAAGACATAAAAGCTCTAAATTTAAATGAAATGGATACAACTGATCGTCTAATTTGGCGCAAAAAGTTGATGGCAAAGAAAACAACGTCCTACCTCGGGAAACCGGGTCTCTGGACGCAAAACGAAGATTGATTGATTGATTGAAATCGATAATCAATGTTAATAAATTATACTGATGAAAACTAACGTTCATAAACTATCGCTTTCAAATCACAATTCAATGACGTAAAACGCAAACAGAATATCGGTTTTCCAACATCGCTATTCAAATACCAGCACCGTTCAAATATTGCAGCTCGTCTTTATATACCCGTCTTATTGAATATAGAAGATATCTAGCTGTCAGAATGTTCTACTTCTCTCTCGAACTGGGTGCCGTACCGACATTAGCGCCTCTAGCGAATTATCAATTGTCACGGTTATAACACTACCCCCTTTACAGTTCTGTTCTCCAATAATTTACTTGCGTTGCATAGAATCGAGCCGGTCTGTCCAAATGAACAATCTTCATTCTCGGAACAATCTTCAATCAACAATCTTCCGATGTTCCTAAATTCGGTAGACGGTGTCGTTCAATCGGCAAAATGTTCAATTAATGTTTGATTGAAACGTTCCACTATTCTATCTGACTGAAGGTGGAGAGGAGTTCTTGTCTTCTTTATAACCAATAATAGAAACAGCTTACTAGACAGTTGCGATTCGAAGTTTCGACCATGAAGCTCCATGGGAACACCATACCAATTAATCCAGTTCAATACGATTTCTTCAGTGACGGTACAAGCCTCCTGATTTGGGATCGGATACACTTACAGCTACAAGAGGAAATTTCTTGTACTGTTCAACTAGCCGATTTGGCATTCGAGAGTAAATTTCTGATAGCAGATATAACTGATGAATGCAAAATAGGCGTTGATTTCCAAGCAAGACATGGGTTTAAAATTGATTTAAAGAAGCGCGTCCTTAGATAGAGAAATTCACCGTATAGGCAAAATTAAATAGCGATACTGGCGACCACCAATTCTACCTGGTTGAGCCAACGACGACAATGGAAATTAACAAAATCGCTGTTGAAAAGAGTATCGTAATAGCAAATGAAAATTGTTATAATTCAGGTGTTGAATGTGGCAGAGAATTTCATTACACTTAAAAAAAGGATTTTGTCAATCTGTAAATATTGTGAAGTCTTAAGATAATCAACATCAAAATGATGGTCGGCAAGTTTTGTAGTTGTTGTTGACAAGAACTTTGGTGATTCTACATAGTTCGCTTATTAAAGTGGAGTGTGTGAATGCTCTATTTACAAATGCTTTTATTGTGCTGCGTTTGTATTTTTCCGTGCTCTCACTTATTCCGTTTAGATATATTCCTTTGTTTGTTTGTTTGTTTCACATAGACCGTTGTTTCGAAGCAGTTTTCATCTCGAGTGATTAGCGTATCCAAAAATTGTAAAATCTTGTTGTTTTCATATTCTTCAGTGAATACTAAAGATACTGATTGCAGATTTTAAGAAAGAGTTGGTGGAGAAGATCAAGTGTTGGAAAGATGCAACGAAAACAAAAGGGCTAAGGGGGTTAACATGAATAAAACAAATGTTATGTGTTGTAAAGTAAGGACTGGACAAGTAGAGAATTCTGGAAAGTGGTCGTGTGCGGTGTGCAAGACGGGTGTTGGAGCAAATTTAATAATCTGTAGTGCTTGTAAGAAATGGGTGCATAAGAGATGCAGTGGACTGACTGGCAGTCTAGAAGTGGCTGCTTTCAGGTGTAAAAGATGTGTTGATGGAGGGGAACAAAAGGAAATAAGAAATAGATTGTGAAGGGAAGGTTGAACGTTTTGTTATCTGGGAGATATAAAAGGATCTGGAGGTGGAGCTGAGGAGGCATGAGAGATAGAGTGCGGTGTGCTTGGGCTAAGTTTCAAGAACTAATTCCGATTCTGACAGCAAGAGGTGCTTTTATAAAGGTACTAGGAAAAATATACAGTACTATACTAACGTGTGACGATATATGGCAGTGAGACATGGGCTATGAAAGTGGGAGATATGCAGCTTATGGAAAGGGCAGAAAAAAATGATGTGTGGCGTAACACTGAGGGACAGGAAAACGAGTGAAGAGATCCGACAAAGGTTAAATATAGTAAATGTGTGTGATAGGGTGAGACAGTGTAG